GCAAAATCCTCTGTGTGAAAATTCTAATAGGTATAATCTTGGGCCACTTTTTCAAGGTATGAATTCTTGTACATTTCCACCACCACAAATTCTGTGTGTCAATCCTGTTTGGTGCAGTACTAGAATACATTTGCAAGATATAAATTCTCCTGCATGTACTCTAAAACAAGAATCTCAGTCTGAAAATTCTATTGGCTACAACCCCGGGCCACATTTACAAGCTCCAAAACTTCAAGAACAGCACTTGAAAGATCTGAAGTCTGAATTCACTCCAGGATCAAACAATTTGGGTACAGCACCTATGGAATACAACCTTGGTTCACAGCATCAAGGTATGAATGGTATGAATCCTTCCGGGTTTAATCCTGAGTCAAAACCTCAGTGCACACCTTCTTTAAACCCCAGTTCAGGGCCACAGCTGCAAAGCATTAAGTCCTTTGACTTGACCCCTGGCTTAGAGTCTCAAAGTATAAAATCTGTTCTGTTAAACTCTGGATCACCTTCTCAAGGTGTGAGTTCATCTAACTTAATGCTAGGGGCAAAGTTTGAAAAGGTCCCATTTTTGAAGAACCAGCTTGGGTCATGGCAGCAAAGTGCGCAGCCTATATTTACTTGGAGGCCTCAGTCAAATAGTTTGAATTCTGTGGTTTTACCAAAGTCACCTCCTGAAGAGAGAAAGTTTCCAGAGAAGAGTACACAGTTTTGTACAAGTGCTATAGAACTGACACCTGGCTGTGGTCTGAACGACCTGAGAAGTAAGGTGTTTTCGCCAGAACGTTGTTTTGAAAATGTTCAAGCTGTGCAGTTGAAACTAGGGTCACAGTCTCAAAGCATGAGTTCTTCAGAATTGATGTCATGCCACAGTTCACAACATCCTATGTCTTCCCTCGCACTAAAGCCATGTTTTCAAGATACACATCCTCAGCAGCTGAGGATAGGATCCGAACAGCAAAGTCTGAACTGCCAACTGTTTCCTTCAGAGGAGAAACCAATGATGGCATCGGGGCCACAGTCCACCAGGAAGCTCTCAGCAGGACCAGCACTGACTAGTGTCAAATTTTCAAATTTGTCACTGAAATCACAGCAGCAAAATATGAAATCTTGGGCGTTTACTTCAGAACCAAAGTGACAAGGTGTAAAACATGTGAAATTGTCATCAGTGTCTCTGCCAGAACCTGGAAATTCTGTGGAGATACCACTAAAGTCAATTCTTCACACTATGAAATCTGGGAACCTAATGCCACAGACAATTGATCCAGTCACAAAATCGACTAAAACCGCATATAAACCAGAGCCACAGGTGGTGGACTTTGCAGAGAGGATCATGAAGCCTAGGTGTCCAGTCCCTGAGTCGGTGAACTTTACTTCACCACCAATTTTTCAAGCTGTGGAATCTTTAGAAACGACAAAAAGATTGGGACATAAAAGCACAGAAATGATGGAGAAATCTATGAAGTTGAGCTTCAAACCAACAGATAAAGTCATAGAATCATTAGATAAAGTCTCAGAATCATTACAGATGCCCCTGAAGCTAGATCTTCAAGTACCAGAATTTGTTGATCTGACTCCAACACTAAGTGATCAAGATTCAAAATCCTCGGAGCCAAACCTACAGAAAAGCTACCAGATCCCAGAAACTCCTGAGTTACATTCTTGGTCATGGCCTCAAGGTCAAGATTTCAAGAAGTTACAGACAAAGGAAGTTACAGAAGCTGACAGAATTACCCTCAACTTCAAGAATCATGGTGTAGACAAGATAGAGCTGACTTGTGAAGCAAGACAGCAAGGGAAAGAATTTCTTAGAATGACTCCGCGGCCAGTAAATAGAGAGACTGGATTTGTAGAAAAATCTCCAAGGTCATGTCCTCAAGACTCAGGACCTCTGGAGGTGGGCTCTAAGAAAAAATCTCAAAGGGAACAATCTGTAGTATCAACACCAAGGCCATTCTCTCAGGTCCCAGATTCTGCTTCGGGAATAACACCAGGGCCAGGACCTCAGATTCCCAAGTCTAAAAATTTGGCCTCTATGCTGTGGCTGCAAAAAGAATCCTCTGAGTTATCATGCAAAGAAACCAGTCAAGTTGTGGGAAATACTGACTCTGTAGAGCTCACCTTTGGTACACGGCAGCCAGGAGGGGTAGCAGCTAAGCTAACAAAACCTCAGAATCTGAGCCTAGAAAATGCAAGCATCACTCCAAAAGAACCACTGGATCAAATGATAAATTTTATAGGGGTTAGTCCAAAGCCACGAGTTCATGTGACAGAATCTGCAAAGACACAGCTTCCAGTTCCTCAATCAGTTGTCATCCAAAAAGTCTCTGAAACTATAGAAGTGATCCCCGGACCACCACTTCAAGTTATAAAGTCTGTGATGATTCCAGAGAGTATCCCTCAAGAGTCAAAATACAATGATTTGACTCCCAAAATGCGTGATGGGATAAGGTCAGAATTTGCTCCAAGCCTTTGGCTACAAAATGTGCAACCCAAGAAATTAATCATAGATCCAACACATCAGGTTTTAGAGACAAAACGATGGCCAGGCTTTTTGATTATAAAGACTGCATTAACTCCCAAACCACTGCTTCTGATGCTAAAATCTGAAGAAGTGGCACCTGGACCATATCCTCAGTCTGTAGAACTAATAGGACTCACCACGAGATCTAGCATTAAAGGAAGAGAGGGTTTGAATTTACACCCAAGACCACATCGTCAAGACCTGGTAATACCTATGGAGTTAACTCCAAGGGCAGATATTCAAGTGACTTCTGCAGAATTAGTATTGGAGCAGACATCTCCCCTTAAGGAACCTACAGTGTTAACTCCTGAGCAAAGGCTTCAGGCTGGAAAATCTCTAAGCCTCAAAACCGAATCTCCCAAAGTAATGAAAATTGAGGATTCCAATCAAGGATCGGTGTGTCAGAATAAAGACTCAGAGATGATCACATCAGCAAAGTTACAGGCAGAGGACTACTTATCTAGGTTAATACACAGCCCTTCAATCCCATTTCTCTCAAGCGTTGACAAAACAACTGAATTAGAGCCCCTTCAGGGTTCTGGGGTGCCACAGGTTTCAAGAGCTTTTGGTATGAAAAACCTTGGTGTTGGTATTTTGCAGTCTTCAAAGTCCTATACAGACACTATTATGATAAAATCTTCATTTCTTCCGTTGGTCCTTGAAAATCGACCCTCTGATAAGACAGGGGACACCAAGGGAACCCCATATCCTGAGATCTGGAGCATGAATATCTTATCTAAGGAAGAAAGTGGAAAGGAGAAAATGGAGGAATTCCAGAGGTATTCTTCATATTCATTCAGATTACTATCAGAAGAGTTTCAGGCAGGGTTAGGGGCTCGAAGAAGCTCTATCCGTTCTTTCCTGGGCATACAACAGAATGTCTAGGAAAGTCAAGTCTGCAGGCAGCGACTACCTAGGAAATACCTCTCCAATATGCTAATGCTGGGGAACGTCCTGGGAACCACTATGGAAAGGAATGATTGTTCTCAATCATTTTTAACAGAAGGATCCACTATGGACATCTGTCAACCTATTTGAATCCCATTTGCATCTGTAAGACCACTTGTGGGATGGGTGGGACACTGATTCACAAGGTGCCCTTAAATCTTCAGACCCCACCCATTTGTATGCAGCTTCCCCCTTCCCCCACCCAGGGCTCCTGGAGTATCCACCCTGCCTCCAAGATGCTTTAACCATATCTGTGACTCTCCAGAGCCTTCATCATCTAATATCTGAAAATGGTGCCATCTTCGTGAACCGAGAGTATCTCTTTCCCAGAGCAGCTGAAGAGCAAATGAATTTGAGAGTGACAAGTGGGGTGGCACACGCCTGAAATCCCAGCACCCAGGAGCCGGAGGCAAGAGGATCACATGGATAAGGTCATCCTCAGTTACACAGCAAGCTTGAAGTCAGCTTGGGCTATAGGAGACCCTGTCTTTAAAAAAAAAAAAATTCAAAGGAGAAAATAAGTGACTACCACTCAGTGACGCCATTCTTCCTGTTTGTCCCTCACTGTGCCAGCTGTGGTCCCTTCAGGCTCTGCCACTAAAGGTTTCTGTTCTTGTAAGAAAACTTAGCTCCTTTTCCACATGTCTGATTAGCCACTTGGACTTAACACACTTCTACTTACCAAACCTAACCCAATATCTCCAAAGCCTGAAGGGAAAAGGATCATCGCACCCAATCCCCAAACCAGAGCCAGAAAACAGCCACTCCATCACCATAGCCATGACCCAATCATCCACTACAGTGGGGTAGAAGGGGGTGCAGGTGCTTCATCAGTTTTGGCTGATCACCCGCCTTCCTGGGCTGAGTCCATCATGGGCATCTGGCCCAGCTGCACCATGACAGTATCTTTTTTTTTTTTTTTAAGAGATCAAAGGGTTCTATTGCCAATTTTTCCATTAGGGTATTTTTGAAATTATAGATTACAGTACCAGTTTACCCTGCAAGGAGCACAACTTTTTATTGTGTACCCCTGAGCTAGGACTCCATCTGCTACTGTCTGCACACCCTGCAAACATTCCTGAGTTCCACAATCAGTGAATTCTCCTCTCTCTACAGTAAGTGCTCTGACTGGACTGTCTTGAGTGAATCTGAGCCAGGCAGGCATTTTCATAAATGCTTGACATCCATTAAGTACCACATCTCAGAACCCCGAAGTAGAAGCTATTATTATTCCCATTTCACATATGGAGAAATTGAGGCATTAAAAATCAAGAAACTTGCTCAGTATTCCCATTTTACATTTCGAGAAATTGAGGCATTGAAAATTAAGAGACTTGCTCGGGTTTATATGTACAGTTTTTAGATGGCAGATGCAATATTTGAATCCATGTACGTTTGACTCCATAAGCTAAAATTCTAATGTCTTTAATTCTGCTGTAGGGGTTGGGGATTTAGCTCAGTGGTAGAGCACTTGCCTAGCAAGTGCAAGGTCCTGGGTTCGGTCCTCAGCTCTGGAAAAAAACTCTGCTGTTGTGGCATATGTATTAATGACTTAATTCTGCCATATATAATTTAGAATTATTTTTTGAGACACAGTCTCTCTATGTAGCCCTAGAACTCTCTTTGTAAACCAGACTTGCATTGAACTTACAGAAATCTGCCTGCCCCAGCTTCTGAGTGTTCAGACTAAAGGCATGAGCCACCATGCCTGGCTACTCTTATTTTTTAAAAGAAGGTCTTGCTATGATTTCAGACTGGCTTTGAGCTCACAGTAATCCTCATGCCTCAGTCTCACAAATTCTAAGATCACAGGCATGTAACAGCACAATCAGGTAAGGACTTGTTCTTTTAGTGCTAGAGAAGTGTGTGCTCTACCACTAGCAACATCTCCTGAAAAATGCATACTTGTTTTGTATGTAGGTCTGACTGTCTGCTTATGTGTCCAGGGTGGGGGTTGTACATATAGAGGTCAGAGGTCAAATCAGTGTTTTCACAATCATTTTCTGCCTTAGTTTTTTTTTTTTTTTTTTTTTAAAGACAGAGTCTCTCACTGAACTGAAAGCTCACGAATTCGGCTAGGCTGGAGGTCTAGGACCAGAACTCTAGGGACCCACCTGTCTGCCTTCGCAGCCCTGAGATTACAGGTGTGCCTGGCTTTGAGGAGGACGCTGGAGATCTGAACTCAGTTTCTCATGCTGCTGATGAGTCACTTCCTCCATGGCCAACCTTCTCATCTGTGCAGTGTTAGCCTGTCCTTTCAATTGGGAATGTCTTTCTCTCTTGTCAATCATCCTTCTCATGGCTTTTCAGTTTATAATGCTCTTTAAATCCTTTTCTTTACATCTATGGTAGGGTGGGACGTGTGGGGCAGTCAGAGGACAACTTGCAGGAGCTGGTTCTTTCCTTCCACTGTGGGGTCACAGGGCTCAAACTCAGGTAGTCAGGCTGAGTGGCAAGTACCTTAGCCACTGAGCCACCTCACAGGCCTCCCCCACCCCTCACCCCTGCCCCCTTTCTGTAAGAGTCTATTGTAACCCAGGTTGGCCTTGCACTCCTGACCCACCTACCTCCACAACTGCTGAGATTACTATCCTGTGCCACTAAGGCTTACAAGGCTCTGTTCTGTGTAGAGCTTTACTTAACATTCTCCTAAGTCGCTTACAGTTGCTCTCACTGTGGCTTTTCTTTACCAGATGAAGAAGCTAGTGTTGGAAAGACTGCATATGGTGAGGGTTAAAGCCAGAGATACCATTTGGTCAAGTCAGTGTTGGAGCTAAGCCAAGACACGAATTCTGTCCTCTTCACTCCCAAACCCAGTCGTTTATGTTTCTGGGCTCCTCTCCCAGTGCCCAGCCTCTTCTGCATCCGAAACACACTTTCACAATCCAAAAGAGAGTTCAGCTTCCGCTCTACCTTTTTAAGGGCTTATATCTAAAGCGTTTATTTCATCCTGTGTAGAGCTGTGATCGTGATCTATATATGCGCCTTTCCCTCCAGAAAAAGTCTTGACGTAATGCAGGTAGATTTGATCCCGTAGAGCCTAAGTTGGGCCTGGCACTCAACTGATGTATGCGATGCAATGACAGCATTTAGCCGTCAGTCAGCGATGCACATCGACTGCAGAGCGAGCTTTTACAGTCTTCTCCAGGAGTAGAAGCTCAAAAGTGTCAACTTCTGTTCCTGTTTTTGTTTTGTTTTGTTTTGTAATGCCTGGTGGTCGGGAATGGGAGAGGCATGGGATTCCTCACCTGAGGGCTCAACAGGGTTCTCGGGTGCTTCAACTGCATGATGCAGACAACAGGCCTGCATTGGCGGCGCTAGTGGTTGACATACAGGCGACATACGTCATAAGGTCACCTAGTGGGTTCTCGAAGGTGCACACAGGACCTGGGTAAGCGCAGTGAGTCCTAGGGCAGAATCATAAGGGGATTGTTGAATTCTCTTCCCGACCAATCTCATAGCTGCATGCACACCTAATACAGAGCTCCGCCCACAAGCTTCCTCCCTCTCTGGATTGTACATCACCAAGTCCTTAAGTTTTCTTATTGTCCTACCCGGCCAGTGTCTCTATAGCTGCTCCCCTGCCTACCTGTTTTTCTTAACTTCCCTGGCAGTAGAAGGAATTAAATCACCCTATTCATCTGAGCTAGACAGTTGTGAGCCTTAAGCAGGTAAACGAGAGGTTAAAAGCCAGGGAAAAGGCCACTAAAACAGGCTCTTACATGGGCTGGAGCTTTTGGAGGGCAGCCTGTCAGAAACCTTGAGAGTTTGGAAGTGCACACGGGGCCCTGGGGGCCTCTCTTCCCAGAGGCCGATGCTCCTGACCTGCACTGTGTAGTCGCTGTCTTCAGCCAGGCCCCAAAGAGCACAGGCCCTGGTGGTGGTGTTCACCTCCCTGATTACACGCTGCCCGGGGCCATTCTGTCTCTGCAAGGAGATGTAGAGAAAGGAGGGCAGCCTAGCCCCAGTCAAAGAAGCCATGGTTTCCACTGAGTTCGCTGGAGGCTCCAGAGGCATCGATCCTGGAAGAGGCAGGAGTTGAGGGGTCAGGAGCTGCCCATCAGGCAAGAGGGATGCAGTAGCTCTCTAACAGTCTTCTGGGGCCCACAGCCCATCTCCCCCGTGCCTTTCCCGCCTCCGCATAACCCCAGTGCCCACCCCAGCCCCCACCCGCGCGGTCTCATCAGCCCACACCCACCTCCCGGGTCCTCGTGGTCGGTCAGGGCTCGGGGGGCTGCTCGGTGCCCAGAGGGCGGCCCATAACCAGACCGGCGGTGGCCCTACCCTATCCCGACAGGAGCCCGCCAAGGCGGGCAGCGATGGCCGGGCTGTGGGGCAGAGAGGGCAGAGGCGGAGTGGCTGCGGGCGGCGGGTCTGCCCGGCCCCAAAGCCTTCCCAAGGGCAGAGGGGGGGCATTGTCGTCGAGGCCTGGCAGCTGGCCTGCGTCCCCCGTGCAGAGGACAGTGCGGCCAACCGCCACCTTCTGGAGACCTAACTGACCCCGCCCCGCCCCCGCCCCGCCCCGCCCCCCGCCCCTCCCCTCCCGGCGGGGTTCTCACCTGGGTCATCCCTTCCCCCCCACTCCCAGCCCTGTTCTTCCCGGGCTCCTTCCAGGACCCTCCCTATGGCGGCCTGCCATTAAAAATAAATCAATGTCTGGCCCTACCCCATCCCGACAGGAGCCCGCCAAGGCGGGCAGCGATGGCCGGGCTGTGGGGCAGAGAGGGCAGAGGCGGAGTGGCTGCGGGCGGCGGGTCTGCCCGGCCCCAAAGCCTTCCCAAGGGCAGAGGGGGGGCATTGTCGTCGAGGCCTGGCATCTGGCCTGCGTCCCCCGTGCAGAGGACAGTGCGGCCAACCGCCACCTTCTGGAGACCTAACTGACCCCGCCCCGCACCCGCCCCGCCCCCCGCCCCTCCCCTCCCGGCGGGGTTCTCACCTGGGTCATCCCTCCCCCCCCAACTCCCAGCCCTGTTCTCCCCGGGCTCCTTCCAGGACCCTCCCTATGGCGGCCTGCCATTAAAAATAAATCAATGTCGCCGGGCAGTGGTGGCGCATGCCTTTAATCCCAGCACTTGGGAGGCAGAGGCAGGGGATTTCTGAGTTCGAGGCCAGCCTGGTCTACAGTGTGAGTTCCAGGACAGCCAGGGCTACACAGAGAAACCCTGTCTCGAAAAACCAAAAAAGAAAAAAAAAAAATCAATGTCAATGGAGCTAATAGCAGCATACCTCCTATGAGATGCTGCAAAGATTAACTTCCAAGTACAGGAAATAGAAACCTGGACTGAGAAAGTAACGTTGAAGCTGCTCTGAAAGCTAGTAGGGAAAACAGCAGAAGTCCAGAGACTAAACCTGAGGGAAAACACAGGTGGAGATTTCTATTATGTGTGCAGTGAGTGTTGAGAATGGTTTGGAGTGTTACAAACCTTCCTTCTGGGAGAGCATAAAGAGTAAGCCCCTATTTGCCCCAATATGTGCTTGTGGGTATGGGTGTAGGTTTTTTTCTTTTTTGGATTTGTGGGGACTTTTGTTGTTTTTATTTTGTTCAGTTTGCTTTTAGAAAGGGTCTTACTGTGTTGTTCAGGTTGTTTTTTAAACTCCTGGCTACAAGTGAGTCCTCCCAGCCCCACCCCTCTTCCTAGTAGCTGGGATCGCAAGCACACACTGCTCCATCCAACTGACCCAGTATACTCTTTTATAGTGTTCAAAATATTGAGTCTTATGGAACAGGGGTAGATTTATTTCTGACTTAGACCTTTTACTAACATAATAAAGAACTTGGAGAGTCCTGACGTTATCTTGCTAAGACTCTGAAGGGAAGTTTGGTGAACTAGAAGCCATTGTCAAAAGTACCAGAGAAAATCCCTGCGCTCTTGCCCTTGGAGCCTCTCCTCCAGTCAGTTTCCTCAGTCAGTTCTTTTGCATAGACCTCAGCTCTTTTTTCACCAGCCTGGATTATGATTCTGATTTCTGTTTTGCTATCTGGACTAAGAGGCATTCTACTCTTAACTCACTAGTTTAATTTTGAGATATATCCATGGCTAGCCTCAAAAGAGACTAAGTATTGTATCTGTAGTAACAATATAGCTTATATTGTTTAATAAAAATGCTTTTCCAAGTTTTTAAACTTCTTAAATTTAAGTTTACTTCTCAGTAGATAGCTTTTTAAAAAAATTTTGGTTTTTATTTTTTTTTTTTTGAGACAGGCCAAGAACTTGCTGTATTATTGCTAACCTTGAATTTTCCAGGATCCTCTCAAGTGCTTGGATTACAGGCCTGCACCACAACACTTGGCCAATATTTTTTTCTTTATGAAAGTAGTACATGCCAGTTGCTGAAACTTAGTAAGATAAAAATATATTCCAAGTCTATCTCCCAGTCACAAATCATTTTTAGAATCCATTCCATGGGTATGTGTGCATGCCTGTATGTGTGTGCTTGTATGTGTGCCCAACAGCTGAAATTGAGAACACAGATTTTGTTGTTTAGGATTTAGGCTGTTAGCTTTGTAAGTATAGCAGTCTCATTAAGCCTGCATTTTTTTCTTTAAACAGTAGAGATTTGCTGGGTATGGTGGTACATACCTTTAATCCCAGCACTCAGGAAGCAGAGGCAGGCAGATCTTTATAGGTTCAAGAGAGGCAGGCAGATCTTTATAGGTTCAAGGCCAGCCTAGTCTACACATCAAGTTCCAGGACAGACAGACAAACAGTCAAGGCTAAATAGGAAAACCTGTATCCCCTCTCCACCCCCCAAAAGGTAGACTTTTGGTTTTTCAAGACAGGGTTTCTCTGTGTGTACCCCTGGCTATGCTGGAGCTCTGTAAACCAGGCTGACCTTGAACTCACAGAGATCCATCTGCCTCTGCCTCCCCAGTGCTGGGATTAAAAGAATTCACCACCATCACCTGGCTAAAAGGTAAATATTTCATATAATATTTATGCTTAGAGCTATAAAGACAAAGAGGTAATATGTAGTTAATATCACAGCCACAGTCAACCTTATCTTTGGATAAGTTTAGTGAGGATCTGCTGCCCTGAACTGCTTAGAATGAAGGAGCAGACTGGAGCAATTACAGAGTCTCTTTTACAAAATAGTTATAATTTAATTAAAATTTTTGTTTTTAACATTTATAAGCAGCTTATGAAACTGTTTAGTGAACTCTCCTTTAAAATGTAATTAAACCAATCAAAACAAGCCTTAAAAGTTAATTTATTTTGGGCTAACCTCGAGATAGGTAAGCATATGTGAGCCTGAGACTCCTAGTATCTTGAAACAGTGGCATCAGTGATAAAAATGTTACCATGGTAACATGGAAAAACATGTAGTATAGGGTTTGGCACCTTCATCATATTTCTAAAATTAATTTTTAGTGGACGTACAAAGTAATGAGTCTCATCATAAGATCTTCATACATGTCATTATATAGTTTCTTTGTTTCCTCCCACTGTCTTCTTTTGTACCCCTCCCTCAAGCTGATTCCCTTCCTTCTCCCGGTTAGTTCCCTCTTCTGCTTTCTATTGCTGTAACCCTTCACCTGCTTCCAGAAGTGAGGTTTTGCCCCATGTTAAGGCACCACGTTTAGTATTGAATTATTTAAGATCCTGGCCCGGGGTTTCCACCCCACCTTTGGTTATTGAGTTCCTGGATGAAAGACACACACAGCCTTTATATTTTCAGTAAGCCTTAATCAGCAAGGTAATCCTCCACAGGCCTGGTCAGAGCCTGGTGCCTCAGATGATTCTAGAGTCTGTCACGCTGACAACTTATATAACTTGCTGGGAAAGAAATAAGGAAAAGGATCTCATTCTGTTCCTTTAAATGTCCAAATAGTCTTTTACTAATGTGTGGCTACATTTGCTTAACCATTTTTTGATAGACATTTGAGTTGTTTGTACCTTTTTGGTCACTGTGAGTAGAGGTACTGTAAGAAGTTGTGTACAGGTTTTTGTGTGGACATGTTTGTTTCATTTCTTTTAAGCTCACCCTTAGAGTTGAATTGCTGATTTCTGTGACAGCCTTTTAAGGAGCTTCCACATTGTTTTCTAAGTCAGTAAAAACGTACTCCCACAAGCCGTGTATGAAGGTTCTACTTCAGGAGAGTATATTTTGTACTGCTGGAGAGCCACTACACAGAATCATATGAAAGTAACTACTGAAAATTACTGGGCTATATATTGGTCTCCATTATGGTCCAGGATACCAAGTCATGAGCCTTTTCCTGATGGATCGTCAACCAAATTTACAATTCACCTTGATAGTTCTCAGGGCTACTGTTCTTCCACCCCTTCCCAAATATTTTTGATATTTGCATATTGCTATTTATTATGAATCTAATTTACCGAGGCTTATTGAAAGTTAGAGTTCATAAACTAAAATTACTTAGGTTTTACTGAAGACTAACTTTTTAAAAGATTCTCATCTGTACAGTGTTTGCCAGCATTGAACAATTCCTACTATACATACCCATATGTGGATAGACACTGCATCATTGGCATTGTCTTGAGTTGGCTGTTTCCCCACTACCCTTGAACTAATATAATTATAAAATAATACATACTGGAATGTGAAGACGATCAAAAAATATAAAGTCTTAAACATTTTATACTGATTATATACTGGAGTTATCATTGTCGAGATGAGCTAAAATATTAACACCAATTTCTGATGTTTCTTTTAAGAAAGGAATAGTAAACAGAAAAGACATTTTAAAAATTTCCTGTAGAATAATACAAGATGAATGTATGAAAGATGCACAGTTTAGGGCCCAGTGGATCAGGCCTTCAGTCTTAGCTCTCAGGAGGAAGATCAGGAACCGAGGTCAACCCTTTCTTAAGTTGCCTTTGTCAGGGTATTTTATCACAACCACAGTGAACTATGACATAAGTCTTCAGGTCATCCCATTGTCTGCTTAATGAATTTTCATACTTCATATTAGGTGCACCTTACATGTGTTGTACACAATAGTATCATCTTCTGTGTCCACCTTAGATTTTGAGACAGAGTCTCCCACTGAACCTGGAGAATGTCATTCCAGACACCCGGGATGCATTTCCTTATCTCCAGCTCTGTCCCAGCACTGGAGTTTCAGGCTACACTGCCATGCCTGGCTTGTACGTGGGTGCTGGATGTAAACTCAAACTCATCTCCTCATGCTTGTGCAGCAAACAGTTCACCCACTGAATTATCTCCTCAGCCCAATGCGGCGTGCTCTTGTCACTACACTTGTTAGTAAGAAAGTTTAGTTAAGAGACAAGAGCTTAGAGATTCCAAATGTCTTTCCAAATTAAGCCAGAGTTAGGGGTTTGTATTTAAGCCCCATCTTGTTGGAATTATGCCATCGTGCTATAGTGAGAGACTTTATAGATGAAATCCAATTTAAGATATTTGGTAATATTTATTAAAATTGCAATGTTCATACACTCTAAGCCACTTCCCATGTGTACTATTTATCTTTGGAAAAATCATATAAATGTACACA